CCCTCAAATGGTACGGGTGTCCCATTCGCTGCTGTGAGTTGGAAATCTGGGTCAACAAGGTCCTTGGTACTCCGCAGGTCAGCCTCGGGCACATTCCTGTGAGACCATGGCCACTTGCGAACCGGTGTTCCACAAGACTGCAGAGGACCTCCCGTCTATAGTGCAGAGGACCATGCATTTTTGGCCGACTAGTTTTATGAGGTTGTCGTGGTGTTTCGGTGTGATATGACATACCATAGTTCTGTTGCAGTTCTTTTTCCTGGCATGAGCCGGACGATTTAACTCCTGCAACTGACAACAAGTTTTCTCGTTCTCACTCCAGTTGTTGCACTGGCAACCCTTGGAACAGTACAAAGTATCGTGACAGTCTGAACAAAGTTTCATGTTCTTGATCAAATCCATTTTTCCACATCCAAAACATCTTAGGGACTTTTCTGCTAGCTACTTCTCGTCCCCCAGGAGTAGCTGTTTGTCGTTTCCCTGCCGTCCACGTTGACATCCACGGGCGTAGTGCTCAGTGCTTCCACACTTGAAACAATGATTGCACCCCTCTGGCTTTCCCGCTTCTTCACATTGGCCACAGGATGGATGCTTTCTGCTGTTTCTGGTATGCCTGTCTTGTTTCTCTGGGTCCAGGACTGCAATCGATGCCTTCAACTCCCTTATCTCCTTGACCAAATTCTCCACACCATCAGGACTCTGCAAGTCATCAGAAACGATGCTGCTGACCTTAACTTTCGACCCTCCCTTCTGAAGACGCTTCTCCTCCAGACTAGTCACCACATTCAGAACTTCGAGTAGCTCCTCGTCAGTGATTTGGGTTTTTTCCAAATATTGCCTCATTTCTCCCTTGAGATTTGGGCTAACCCCGTCCGAACACTCTGCAGGAAAGTGTTCTTGACAAGTTCTTGGTCGTAGTGTAGTGTGGACTGGTCCTCTTGGCTGGCGAACAGGATTTTCTGACGCAGACTCATGGCACGGACAACAAAATCTTGAGCTGATTCTCGTGGCTGCTGGGTTGCTGCAGCCAATTCCTGGTACAGATCAATGGCATCCTTCTCCTGAAAATGGGCACGGAGGACTCGACTTAGTTGGGGAAGGGGGACTTCCGCTCGTCCCTCCAGGTAGCTTCGTAATGGTAACCCTTGAGTAACTGCACGGGTCACCGCAGAAATTATCTCTCGATGGGAGAAGCCCTTCTGTAGCCCATCTGTAGCCCATCTTCAATTTGTCGAGCTAAACTACAGAAGGAGAGCTTGTCTGGCTGGCCTGCTGCTCCAATTTGCCCCAGAATTTTGAAGTCGCGTCCCAGTGCTGCTTCGGTTACGGTCAAGGTGGTTGTTTTCCCCCACTTTTCTCAGTGTTGGCTGTTGTACTGGTAGGGGTAGCTAGGCCATCGAGCTTTGTCTTGAGTTCCTTGAAGAGGGCCAACCCACCATCATCCCTCTCCTCGATTTCCGAACTGTCAAGGTATCGGTGGATATGGCGGATGAGTCCTCGTTGGTCTTTTCCAGCAGTACCATCTTCAATGTCCAAAGACTTGGCTAGTTCCACCAGTTGTTGCTCTTGCAGCTGGTACAGCTCTGCCTTCACCTCCTTTTCAAACTCTATGAGTGACTTGGTGGCTGTCATTCTTAGCTAAGCTGACTCCCGGTGTAACTGCGATGGTCAAACTACTCCATCAGCCACGTATCAGCATGCTCAGGCCCTCGCCGTACCCATCAGTCTGCCCTGTCCTGGCAAGGTCGCCAAATGTTACCAGGGTGTGCCAGGGTACCGGGGTCAGTTCGCTGTGGCAGAATAAAATAATGATGATCGACGGAGGGATTCTGGTCTTTCTGGACTGGCAACTAAAACAATGCATAAATTTAATAAAGTACACTGAATGAGTTGTTATGTGCACAGCGCCCTCAATTGACCTGGCCACAGCAATGGAAAGTTTTGTTTGGTGGGGGGCCTTAAAATTTATCTCTGTCAACAATAGTTACATAAAAAGTTAAAGCTTTAAAAATAACAAAGTAAAAGGTTGAGAGGAAGGGGGATAGTGTCTCTTTACATTAGGGGATGTAAGGATGAACAGTTTTGGAAAAAAAGCAAAATCAAGAGTTGCCTGTCATCAGAACATGTGTTTGAGAAAAGGTTCCAGAAATAGCAGGGTAAATGATAGGACATAAGGCCCCCCAAAAATCTCTGGTTTCTGGTCAAGAGCTGACTCCAAAAGTGGTGTGGCAATGTGGCTTTCCCCCCCCCCCACTTTTTTTCTGGAAATGATGTTCTTATAACGTGCGATGGCCATTGTGACTGCATGTGCATGTAATGCCGGCCACTACCAACACTAAAATATACTGGCCTCAGCACTTTTTACTGTTTTAAAGCATTTTCAGCTTGCACATGTACACAGGACATACATGTAAGACAACCTTGTTTGTCTGGTTCCTAGATGTAAATGTATAATACAGAAATAACATCATCTGAAAAAGAGTGCCCGACTAATTGTATGGGGAACAAGAGGGATTCCTTTACTGTACATATCACTCAACCATACCCCATCAAGAACATGTTTAAAGGAGATAGGCCATGCAGTTGTAAATTGACGTTATACGGTAGTTTTCAACCATCTTGTGTGCAATCAGTTGGACTAACCCCTCTCTTTTGTCATTAAATCAGCAAAAATTGGTGTTTTCTGTGTGTTTTTTTCAGTCTCCACCAGGGCTGTTCGCAAAAACTTACCGAAATCGATGCCAAGCAAGTGACTCACAGTGCATGGTGAAAGAAAATGTTGGAATGGAACACCAACTTTGACCAAGAAGGCTAGCCTATAACTATGGACAAAAACTACTTCTACTATACAGCTATCGAATAGCCAATGGTAGGACAACTACGTCTTTTCAGAAAGACAAATTTGATAATGCTGCAGCAAAAAATCATGACCAGTCAGTGTTTTGTTGTCGATCCCCCCAGGTCACCGCCATGCCCGTGGCCAACAGCCTCGAATTGCAAAATCTCTTCCTGAGTGTATTCTGATTCGAACTGACAAGGCAATATTTCTTGTGCCTCATCAGCTCCTTCCATGTCGCTTTCTTTGTCAAATGAATAAGACGAACATGACTACTGATCGCTGTGATCGGAAAAAGCATTAACGCTGGAATTTTCTGTGCTTGAGTCTGATTTCACACACTAACGGTTCTACATAAGGTACATGTACATGTCTACGCATAGTTACATAACAGTAAACAGTTGACGGATAAAGGATTCCGTCCTACATGTATGACGTCACGATTCTTGGGAATTTCTTCCGACAACTTTTGGTACCCGACAGCTGTTGTTTAGCTTTTGCTCCATATTCGCGCATTTTGAAATTATTCAGATGTGTTTTCATGTTGTATACATGTATATGTTTGTTTTATGTGCTGATGCATGTGTTACAAGAAATCCCCTTTAAATTACACAGTAGCAGGATTCCAGTCAATTAAGCAAGTTTGGTAGCTTTTGGACATCGTTTTCTACCAAATAGAAAACTTTTTTGTTTGCCAATGCACAGGTCTACGGTGACTCGCGCGCTGACCAGAAACCGGAGATTTTTGGGGGGTCTAAGACCAATGAAAAGAATGACCAGTTAAATGTCATAAAAAGTAAGACTGATCACACAAAATTTCATTAAAATTGAAAATTGGTGTTTACAGGTGACAAAATTATTCTTGCCCAGATTATCGCTGACTTTTATTCCAGATCCTTGTCATATAAACAATGAGGCTTTTTTGGTACCACTTTAGTGCTACAAAGCGGTATGGAGAAACTTTAAGAGTTTCTACGATCTCTCTGATGAACCTCCCCCCTACTTGGTGGTAGCCACTGCTGATGTTCAAAGAACTTAATGCACATCTCTCTCCTTTCAGTCAAAGTATTGAGGTTACAGGCAAGAAGTCATCTTTATAGTTTGTAAATTGTCTGCCCAACATGATTTTACAGGCTCTGCGTTGAACTGTCTCAGGCATTTTGCTTTCTGCAGTAGTTAGCCCTGGGTGCCAAGTGAGGGCAGAATACCGGTGCATGTACTTAACTATATTGTGACCATGTGATGCAGTGGTACATCTTAAAATGCTTCAGGGTCTTTATCATTTGAATCCTACCATGTGCTTTCTTGACAACGGATTGGACATGAGTATCCCATCATAAGTCTTTAGTTATTTCGAGTCCTAGGATCTTTACTGCATTGATTGACTGCAAAAGAGTGCCGCTAATTATTAAAGGTTGCTCAATTAGGAGTCCTTTTGCAAATGTAACTTGTATAGAATTGTCACCTAGATCCCACTGAAAGGGATATCGACAAGAATATAGGACAAAAAGCAGTGCTCTGAAGTACATGTATATGATTGCCAGAGCACTGACTTTATCTTATATTCTTGTCGATATTCTGATCAAGGTGCTACATGTACGCAGCCCTTCCATATTTCCCACAGAATGGGAGTTTGGAGTTGCTGCACACACTCAAAATGAAACAGAAGATGGCTATTCCGTAAGAGCTCTTATTGTAACATAATAAAAAAGTAACACTATTTACAGTATTTACAAAAAAATGAAATTAAAGATCAGCATCTGAACTTGATGAAATCAACAAATCATGCAAAAATCAAAAATCGTAATTAATCCTAACACTCCTCAATCCTCCAACAGGTGAAGGATTGAGGAGTTGTTAGGGTTAAGCTCAAACTTAAACAAAAATGTAAACCAAATCAACTTAAGGGCTTCAAGACACTTGCAAAGTAAATAAGAAATATCGGAACCAAATCAACATCTCACAGAAAACTCACTCCAATCAATTCAAAATAACTTAAATAACAAACATATTTCTGAATTATTACTTTAATCACGTTAAACAACAAGCAGATTCAAAGCAAAATCAACTTTAAATCAGAATCCGTACTCAAAACAAAATGATAAAGCAGCAAAGGAATCGAACTGAATGGCAAGTGAATACAGGAAACGTGTACCAATACAACCTTCGAGAGCCCCAGGCAGCAGTAGATGCCCTGTAACAACGTGTCCGGCCTGTGTCTCAGACTGTTCTCTAGGGGACCAACTTAGCAACTCAGCTCAGATTGGCTTGCTACTATTGCAGGTCTGTACTCTCCAAACAGGTCATCTACAAATATAATGTATGGGAACACAACTTGCAAATAAACTTGGCTTCCAGTACGCATCAAATAGTGTCCAAAATATAATGCGTATCATAAGAGCAGTGAAAAATTTGACAAAGACTAGGGCAGTGAATAAAATTTAAAGAATTAAACTTACGGTAATTCCGTCAAGGTTTTGTCTCAAGCTTCAGGCGTAGCTGCAGTGAAGACCTGTCAGAAATATCGTCACAGAAAAAAATTACTTGTGGTACAATGTAAGTTGGGTATCTCTCATGTCTACCCCGTTACTTGTAACCTGCGGTGGCAGATTCCACAGGTCTGTTGGCTATGGTGGTAACACAAACCAACCCAACACTCCTTGATCTATCTCTGTGCCCTTTTTGTCATACACCTCCCATTCTCAGGGCTTCAAAAAAGCTATATCCAGCAAGAAATGAGACTGAGGGGTACATGTACATGAATCCCAACAACTTCTCCAAGTGCTATACACACTCTAGACTATTGTTACCTAACACATCTATACCAGGCACGAAATGGGACAGGGGTACCCCCTCAACAAGTCCAGTCCCTATACACATTCCAGCCTATTGTCACTGAATACATCACCCCCCATGTCTGAAAAGAATTCCTGAGATACCAGTATAACAATGACCAACAATGTGTTACCCAACAGCCAGCTGCACAGTTAAAAATACCGGGGGGGGGGAAGAATGGACGGGAAGATAATACTTGAAAACATCAAGAACAAAACAAACTTAGTACAGGGGGCTCCGTTAAAGGAATGCACATTTATCAACATTCAGTCTAATATGATTCTTGAGGGTCCACTCTTCCAGCCTGTCAAGGTGGTTTTGCATTTCCGAAGGAGTGTGATTATTACTTTTCCCCAACATTGTCAGGTCATCTTAGTATCCTGGAGAGTACATGCAAGTGGGGAATTTTCTAGTGCGCATCTACGAGTGTGAGGAATCCCCATAGGCCAATGCGAGTTCCGTGTGGGACTCCACAATGGAGTTATTTCCAGTCACAAATTTCACCACAGTAAACACACACACTGCTCTCCACTGTTCAGAAAGTTAATTATTCCCGTCATGACAGATGGGTGCACTCCAAGATGGATGAACTTGTTGACAAGTTTATTGTGCTTCACAGAATCAAATGCTTTGCTGAAGTCTGTCATAACAACTGTTCTTCTTTTTTTTCGTATGAGATGTTAAGCGATATTGAACAGCAGTTGGAGCCATCTTGTTGTAGCATGGTTGGGTTCGTTGAAGTCCATGAACTCCAGAGGGCTGAAGACAGGGCACTCATACATGTAAAGTATTTATATGATGTGATGGGCAGTCTGTTGTGCAGCACCACATGTACACTCTGGAGATAGGCATAGCTGCCCGTAAAACATGTTGGCATTGAAGCAGCCCAGTCCAGAGCATGGGCGATTGAGAGTGACAACCGATTTGATATCACCCAGTTGGTCAGCATTTCTGAGGACATCTAACAGTTTTACTGTAGTGAGTCATGGATACACCCTTGCAATGGCCGTACTGGTTTGGGTCAATTTGCTGTTAATGTCATCTAACAACCAATCAGCCATAAACCCTTCAGCAACCTTAACAAAGTGGTCTGGCGATGAAATTGGTCTCAATTTGTCTTAAGTAGCAAGTGTAGTTTTAGGGATTGATACCACCACAGTTCTTTTCCATTGTTGGGGAACGACCCCCTCACTATACGAGGTGTTTTTAATATGTCTGTTAAAGGGTTTGTGAGCTCTTAAACAAACTCACAAATTATCCTGGCAGAGACTCCATCTAATCCGGCAGATTTCCCTAGTTTAGTTTTTTTAAGACCTGCGTAAACTTGTTAGTTCTGCACTGTTGGATCTGGTTGGGGGTCTGGTCAGTTTGCTGGCAGTGAAGCATTTTCAAATGGTTTGAGGTAATTGGATATGGAGATGAAGTGGTTGTTAATACAGTTAGCCAAATGCATATTGACGTTGGGTGAGGAGCTGACAACTGGAGCCCAGAGGACTGTAGAATGATCACTCATCTGAATGGCGGAGCAGGTTTGTGGTGTTTGATAATGTTTGGTAATGTTAGTGATGATCTTATCAAGTATTGCTGAGTTGCGGGTGGGCTACTTAACAATTTGGGTGAATCCAGTGACAGCGCAAAGTTCACTTGTATCGATTTGGTTTATGTCATCCAAATGACACCAGCATGGGACTAGTTGGTGTTGATGAAGTCGATACCATCAAGGAGATGATTGATGAGTGCTTGTTCATGTGGGGGCAGTTCGGGCACAAATTATAGTTCCACCAGCAGTCATTTGCCTTTTAACTATGCATGCGCAATTCAGTTACACTCCAAGGTCCTTGTCAGTCAAATTTTTTAAAATTTCACCGTTACTCACATTTCACCATCGGCGGTGATTCTCACAGCGTACATGGTCATTGAAATCTCGTACAATTATTTTCACTATATATGTAGTTCTGAATTCATCAGTTATTCATGAGAAAGTGTTGGTTACACAAGTAAACAACAGGCAGGTTTGACAATTGTTTTCTTGTTCTACTGACAACATACCCGCATGACAGACACCTCAAGCACAATTGTTTAAATTAGAATGACACACAGTTTTGTGAGTTTTAATACGCCTTGGTTTATCTCTACCTGCTCTGCAACTACGTTTTGTGATTTTGGCAATATTTAACTGTTTAACGATTGTCCACACTTTGTGGTCTATCCTGCCACAACCTTTGTCTTTAACCAGGAATTTCTTCCCGAAAGCCGACTCTAAGAATTCCGGCCTCGCTTGGCCATGAAAGCCACCTGCCAAACCGCAAATTCTCGGTTTGTGGCCCTGTGTGCTTTGCACGGTGAAAAGGCTCATTGTTCAGTTGCATGCAGCTCTACTCATCCTCCCACATTCTCGTTGCCTTTTCTCAAAGTGAGGACTATTGTGAAGCTGGTGATTATGATGCAAAATCGGTCTTTTCATTTCTGGGCTACGCACAAAGACCAATTACCATATATACAAGAGCCAGGGTCTGCCTTCTTTCACCTTGTTCTCTCAAGCGTGGGCCGGGAATAATAGCTGAAACGCGGGCTGAGGATCTCATTTTTACGGCGGCTATAGCCGCTTCCCGGCTCGAAGGGGTTAAGGAAGTGGTCTCTGTATTGTCAACAAGGATTCATCAGTGTAGTGACACATAGTCAAAACATGTAGGTGATTAATAATGTGCCAAGGCCGCGTGGCTGATAGTCCACACTCGTTAAGAGAAGTAAGATGTGATAACACTCAGATTGGAGCTGATTTATTTCAATTTACATGTATGATGAAGAGGGATGACCCAGTCAGAAATATAAAAATAAACCCTGTCAACAAAATACATTTAATTCAAAATAATTTTAAGTTGTACACAGAGTTATTTGATCAAATAAATATCAAGCCCATAAGACACAGCGCACATACTGTATATACTGTATATACCACTAGTGTACACGACACGTTCATTCAAGTGGAAAGTTTTTACGACTCAATATGAAAGGTTCACGCCAAAATCTATAAACACAGATCAAATATACAATAGTAACACCAACTAACATCTCCTACATATACATGTATGTGTCTTACAATGTCACCTCATGCCTAATTTGAACACGACTTTCCCCCCAAAATGCAGAAAGTAGCCTGAAAGAATGCACTGATTTATCGTTCTGTCAGCAGTGTGACGCATTGGAAAAAGAGAATAAGACCATATGCATGCTCTTCTGAGTCAACACACAACCCCCCATGATTCGTCCAAGATAATCACAATAAACAGCACTGTCTCTGACTACATGAACGATAGTGACATAAAAGCAAAATAAATTAATAATTCTACTAGTGGCACTCTTTAGAACTCAAGATTTGATCAAAAGTATTCTAACTTTGTTTCCAAAAGGCACATCTCAAGGGGAGTGTGTACCCTAAAAGGAAGACGCAAGAACAGTCACATAGATTATACATGCTCTTCATGAATCATTAATTGTCTCGTGTTGAATGGAGAGTTCAAATCCCTGTAATAAGAGGAATCCTAGATAAGTGATAAGTGACACCCACAAACACGTAGGTAAGGCATGGGCCATGGAATGCATGGAACGCTACTCACAGTATTCAAATTATGCAAGTGTGTTACACAATGTGAATGTACGTGCACATTGCAGTCTGTAATGACAATGAGAACAAAATCACTGAAAATCAGTCCTATCCAGTCCAATCAAGTGACAGTCTTTGGCAGAATGGTTACTTAAAGTAATCACACATCCAATAACAGTAAAACACAAAGACGAAACAAACACTGAAGTAAAAAATCTGACGTTAAAATAGTTGAAATCAAGAGCTAAAACTATAACAGTGCTGGCATGTCAAGAGCGCCCTCATACCTAATACATGTGGGGCAAACACGTTTCCAAAACTACAGTAGATGGTTTGCTGTATTCTCCATTACTTTCTTGTGTCGCTTGTTTGCACTGTGCACAGGTTTTTCAAATACAGTCTTGATCTAAGCTGGAGAGAAATGGTGTAAAATGACTCAAGATCTAACATGTAACTACATGTAGCTTTACATGTAAACCCCTGAACCTAGTATTGGAAGTTACAAACCGTAACCATTTGGCTTTGGTACAAGTTCCTCCACACAGTGAATGGATTTCTTTTCCAGAGCAAAGAGGCCAAACCCAAGGAAGTTTTAAGTTTTTTTTAAACGAACAAATCAGATACTACACACAACTCCAGTGAGACTGCAGGGTGTCCACATAAAAAGTATACCGAGATGAAAATTACTGTAATGGTAATAGTATTTTCTATATGAAAAGAGAAATATACATGTACCTCTAGAAAGGGCAGAATGTCCTCTTTTTAATGGTATACAGCTTGTGATGTTATTGACACAGATGGGTGAACAAACTACTGTAGACTGATGTTAAGGGTACTGAAATCGGCACTGTGACAAGTTTGCATGATTGATTAACAAGGCTCAACCGTGCAAGTGTGCAGAATACCAAATGCGTTTGCTTTAAGAACACATTCTTGAAAACAAGGAATGTACCTAAATTAATCTAATCTGCTTTGTTTTCGCTACTTACCTCATCAGTTTAATGTGCTGTGCCCTCCACATGGCCACCATTCCTGTCAATGAACATCTGACATTTTTGTGTAATTTTTATCTCCGTATACTTTTTATGTGTCGGACACCCTATATAAAGTGAGCACAAATTCAAAGTACTTTTAGTCCATTTAAAAATACACGTTTTGAGAGCAGTGTCCAACTAGTGGCATTAATTTAACACAGGTCTTATTTTCAGGCATTATCAGGCAGAGCACATTATCAGAGGGCCCATACAGCTCCACATTATAGAATGGCTAAAGTCAGCTCCAGCAGTTTCAGCTCATCCTTTACATTCAGCAGTGAAGAGGAGAGTGACAGATCTTCTAGCTCATTTCATCCAGGTCAGAATCTCCCTTCACAAAGTTGCAAATTAGCTGTTTGTGTCCCACAAATTACAAACTTCAATGGGTTTGCACCGTTACCTGAATAACACAATGTCCAACACCTTTATTATGTATTGAAAACAGATCCCAATACTGCAGCCTACCAAAAGATAAAATAAATGAAACAAAACTCCAAAAAGAACCAAATAATCTATAAAGGACAATTTACTGTTTTGCCGCGGCTTGAGTAATGCTGCTTGCCTGGTAATAGACATGAACTTTTGAAAATAGACAGCTTTAAGAACAAACCCAAACTCAATGTTATGATCTGGACTCTTCCTGAAAAACCTCAAAAGTAACAAACCAAGATGAAACAGGAAGCTACATGTAACTCATACTGAAAAATCCTACAAGTCATGTTGAGAAATCTGATTGAACACTGTTGTGATTTGGGATGTATGTTTTAAACGCCGGAGGGACACATACATGTAGTACTGGTATCTGAGGTGAAGCCAAGAGCACTATGCATACATTCTATTTATTTTGGTTTATTTCAATTCTTATCATGGCCTAGAGGCCAAATGGCAAGAATGTTATAATGTTATAGAACTTGAAAACAATTTAAAATGCAGACAAAACAGTTAAAGATTGCAACAGAACCAAGGTAAGTTGTAACTAATGCATACATGTACATGAGCATGTTCAAACCATGTCTTACATGTACATGTACATCACAGCAGGAAACAATTCTTTTGTCATACTCTATCTTGATGATTTTTCACTTTTCTAAAGGAAATCAAGAGTAATAAGGAAACTTTGAATATTAGCTGTCCCTGCATTTTACTGTACAATGCGGAGATGTATGCATGTGTGCAACGCTGACTGAAATGAGTGTAACATGTGGAGATGTCACCTAGTCACATGATCATTTTGGGCCAGTGAAAAAACAGTATTGAAGATAGATGTATGAAAGTTACCAATCTTCAATGGATCTTAAACGTTCTCCTTCATTTGAAGATTATCCCTAATTGAGAAAATAAAGAGAAACAGAAGAAATAATAGAAAGTGTTTTCTTAGATAAAAGCAATATATAAAAACCTGTTGTTATTGTTAAAAAGAAATTCCTAGCAAGTTGGTAAAGATCAACATGGCTTTGGCACTCAACACCTGTAGTCTCCACTTCAGTCAGTTTTCAGCATTGCAGCTTTAATTGCCACTCAGAGGAATGCCAGCTGAGTTACAGTGGCCTTGGAGAAGGTTTAACATTTCTGGGCTAAAATGTCCTCTTAGTGAAAAGCATTTCGAAGGCCAGTGAATGAAAGAAAAAAAAAAGAAACAAAAAGTGACGGAAGGAAAATATTCCTAGGAGTAGAGCTGCCTGCCTCCTTTGTTGCTAGACCCAGAAGTACCAGTACAGTATATCCTGATATCTTTGTTGCCTTTCTATTTTTCAACTTTTATCTAAATTTCACCCCTTTTCCCCATCCAGATCACCACCCCAGCACTGGAACCTATTCCTGTCATATTTCGTGTCGAGTTTCCCCAGATAAGCCTGGATACTTTGAGTATCTGCGGCCATATTCAGTCTATTGTTCTCCATTGAAGCGATCAAGAAGTGTTCCTAAAAGCTTTGACGAGAGTTGCAGTTTGCAACACCCTGAGTTGAGTAAAGGCCAAAAGACATACTTGTGGCACACTGCAGCAGTATACAGCATGACGAACCTGAAAGCATTACAGGAGCGGCGTTACAAGCAGTTATTGCAGCACCAAGTAGATATTGGTAAGAAATTATAAACAAATAGGTATGAAAGGGCCATAGAGCAGTATACAGCATGACAAACCTGAAGGCTTACAGCCATTACGGCGTTACAAGTAGTTATTGCAGTATGATAGGGCCATAGAAAATTATCCAATGACAGGGATGTAATTGATGTTTGTAAGGCTTGTGCTTGGCCAGTCTTGAAAAAGTATGGTACATGTATATTTAAGACCAGCTGGGCTTCAGAAACTGATAATGAACCAAGCCGAAAGTGGGGGTCAGGAGAGGTCCCAATTAGATTATAATGTGCAAACAGAATGGAAAAGTAAAACTTTAAAAGAAAAAAAGAAACACCTGAATCTAGGTTGGGATAAGGCTCTCTCTGAAATGTAAGGCATTGGTATTGAGTTCATGAGTGTTTTCTACCACTATCAGGAACTGTTTCTTTCAAATGGGCTTGGAGGCTTCACGTTCTTGCCCATTCAAATCAAAGAATCTCCACTTTTTTAGTGTTTGTTCTTAACATACAGGAGATGACATGGCATACAAAAGGCTTGTGAGAACAACAGCCTTGTACACATTGATCTTTGTTGACAGCTTTGCTTTTCAACATGAGAATACTGGCAGTCTAGTGACTGATAGGCCTTGCCTTGGGGATCGGAGCCATTTGCAGAAATGATGTTGCCGAGATATTTTGAATGTTTAATCTTTGGGGGGTGTCTCAGCTGTGCCGGATGTTGGTTGGTTGGTAAAGAACTTCTGCCTTTCTAGAGGCTGTCAAAGTGAAGCCATAGAGCCCATCAGCAGCATCAACAAACATTTCTACAGTGAGTTGTACATGCAGGTCAACCACAGTGTAAGTTATTTGGGCATAATCATCAGTGAACAATGCCTCAAGTATGAGCATCCTGAGTGTCATGGTTATTGCTTTCAGTGCACAGAGATTTTTTTTCAGGTACACTTCTCTGTCGAGGTCTTCATGGCACAAGTCACATATGTGAAGAACAGGGCCAAATTTGATGTGGTGATGCTTGGCGTGGTTGTGCTTATGGTTGCTTGCATAGAGATTTCCATTGTTTTGTCACTACATTAAGCAAATTTGTCCTCCAAGGTAGTGTTCTTTTTGCCATGTTTACTGCTTTCAGTGTTCATGAAATACACAGAACATCTGTTACTGTAAAATTGTGTACTTAGCAGCATGACATTGGTCCCTGGTTAAAGAGGACTTGAGCTAATACACAACCCTGTTTGTAAGCTGAAAGGGTACTGAGGAGTGGCCACTTAAGAGAACAGTACCAACAATATCATTTTGATGAATCTCTCATGGACATCAAAGCTTTTATAGAATCATCCATAATTCTTCTCTGTCAATGAATACGGAAAATGTAGAGATCCAAATGTTGCTCAATACATTTTTCCTGGACCTGTCTCACTGTCAGTGTCAGTGATGCTATGACCAGGCCTGAACCCACAATATATCTTATGAAGAGCTTCTTCTTAAACTGAGTGGATGAGGTGAATGTTCCCTGTGATGGAGATGAGTGAAATACTGCTGTAGTTACCACAGTTAGCTTTATTACCTTTGATTTTAATAGGGCTGACAACCATGGAATTTCAGAAGTCCTGTGGTATATAACTGTTTTCTGGTCCCAAATGCATGCTAGGATTCTGTGGAATAAGTGTGCTGTTGCAGGGCTTGCTACCAGCTCAGCTGGAATGCCATCCACACTACCATTTCTAGTTATCTTAATTGCCTTCTTTACTTTATCCAGAGTTGGGGGATACATGTGTAGGTCATTGGTTTCTGTGGAATTTAGCCCAGTGATGCTCAGTCATTGTAAGAGGGCGTGTTCAAAAGGTTGAAGAAGTTTCCCTCTACTGTGAATTTATTCATTTAATTTATTCATTTGTAAAGCACAGATTTCATACAAATATGTTCAAATGCACTGTACAATGAAGACATGTTTTCATGTTCACACATAAAACGTGGATATGTGTCAGATCTGTAACTGAGTTCATTATTATTTTAAATTTGAAAACAAAAGTTTATCAAAAATGAAATTGGATTTTATAATGAATATAGCAACATTTCGTTTTTATGTCCTCTTTTATTTTTAGAGAAACTCCTTCAATTCTCAGTAGTAATAAGCTTAGTAATAGAAGGATGTGTCTGCACTTATGCGTAGGATTGGTCAGTGGTCCTCTCTGTTGAAAAAAAAGTCTGCTGAACTGTTGTTCAGGGTGAATCAGAAATATTTTGTAATGTTGTGGAATTGTTCAGGTGTTTATAGTTTTACTTTTCTTTTAAGTGAAGATTTCAATTAAAAAATAAACAAAATGGATGTACAATGCAACAAAAGTTTTCCCTTTTTCTATTAGTAAGCACATATACATGTATATACACATGTACTCATAGTCACATTTCTTTCTTGGAGTTGGTCAGTTTTATCACGAGTTTCTGATCTAATTGACTTTTTCTAGGGGTAACAACATGTGTCACTTTTCAAGCCCTTAAACTGCTTTCTTCATTTGCTGAATTTTTTACTGGTATTATTTCTTGGTTGTCTCGTAACTTCCTGCATGGTTATAATGTTGTTCCACCCAAAGGTGTATTTCATTTGCTTGTCTTTTTGTGTAAATCTTTTGCAATTACCTTGCAGGATTCCACACCCAGGAAGAATGTGATCGTTATCTAAGTTATTTGCTTGGCACACGTAAACGCCAATACATTGCTGACCCAAGGGTTTGGAGAGAACCACCTAAAATACCTGTTCGGCAAAAAACTTTTCGGCTTCATCCTCCCTCCAAAAGTCAATCCCCTCGAGACTACCGGTTCTTCCCACAAGGATACAGAGAGTCAGCAAGTGATATGGGCAGTGACAGCAGATGTAGTGCAGACAAGAGAGGTCAGTCTGAAGAACAACTAACTGATGAGTACAGAAAAGGCCAGGCTGGTCTACCTGATGATAAAGAGAAGGCCAGTGATGATAAAGACAAGAAAGATTGCAGTCAGCAAGAGGCTGATGATAACTACTCAGCTTCTGATGAGAAAAGTTTGTCAGGTTCTATTCAAGGCATGTCCCTGTACTATGACCCCAAACGAAGGACCACAGTTACACGGGGACATGAGGAGACAGGAAGAGAAAATGCAGATAACAAAGCCAATCAGAAATCTCCAATCTCAAGTCACCAAAACTATTTCTGGGGATCTCATTGATGAGCTGGTTAATTTGAAGTTTGTGTTCAACATTTCCACACTAAACAGCACACAGCTTTATCCACATATTTACAAATGAGGACCTGCTATTTGTGTCCTTCTATTACTCTGATTGTTTGGAGTTTAATTTGTTATCAACATACTCCATAAGGTTGGTATATCAGGTCCTCAGGGTTGTTTTCTTGTCACAAGTCTTCAGTCATAAAAGATAACAACCAATGAGAGACTTTGAGACGCTTGGTGGCGCCAAACACACCGGTCCTTTTTACCAGTTCTGAGCATGCGCGCGTTGCTTTGAACATACGTGCATAGTTCTTAGCACACGCAATACCTTGAAAAAGGACCGGTGTGTCTGCTGCCATTAGCGTCTCAAAGACATTCAGTTGACACTGTATTACATGCTGTGGATTTTCTCATGCTATGCTTTGACTTCATTTTAGTGGCATTTGTAATTTATGATCTCACCAACCTGTTTGATTAAACACGTAAATTTAGAAAAAGGGTCATTTGTAATTTTTGATGGGCTCATTGTCGATTAACAGTGTAGCGAATTCTTGTACTTGCATAGTGTGGTTCATTTCTCATAACTCAGTAGGGGAAAGTGACACTTCATGTTCTTGTTGTTTCCCAAATCTTCAAATAAAGCTCAGATGAATGGTCCTCTTTGATTCCACAGCTTATACTAGGCATCCAAAGATGTTCCAGATAAACTGTGGTCAGACACCAGATATCAATTGACTGGTTTTCTAATTAAAATGTTTGTGAAACTGCACATGACAGCTCATCTCACCTTGAGTTATTGTAGACAAACAGCTGATCATGTCCAAGCGCTTTTTGTCTCCAGTTTCACCTTGTGGGGTAATTTCACTATCAGCATGGCAATTAATCACTAGTCTTCCATGATTAATTACTCAGTGAATGACAAAATAGTTTCTGGTTTCTCATTTTTCATTCAAGATAAATCCTTAAAACACTCTTGCACAGATGTGCTGTTACTTGAATTTATGTCTTATCATTGTGCCATCAGTCAAAAATGTCAAACATGAATTGGTTTACTGAGCCAGGTTACATTTTAAATGGCCTTTAACACATTGTCTGCCGCAAAGGGGCGTTCCCATTTGCCAAACATTGTATGTGTGCGTGCATATTTAACAGATACCTTTCATGTGTCTATTTGAACACGAGCATTTTACAAATGTATGTCTTCCACACTGCCAGCAGTGTTTTTTGGTGATGTCAGTGTAATTTACATAACAATAGCCTTTCATTTCCTAAACTTGTAGAGGCAGAATCCAGGTACACCTGTGAACACGAGTGTACATGTATATTCTTAGTTGGCAGTCAATGTGTTAAAGGGACAACAGTCATCATACAAGGTTTGCATTTGCTCTTAATACAACAACACACTCAACTGCCGCCATTTATGTACATGTAAATAACTACTGTGCGAACTATTCACTCTTTGCACGCGTTCGCCATAGGCATGCAGAGCCTTGAACTGGCAGCTTGTACAATTGCGTCAGAATGGCTTTGTCAAATGGCATGGTATAAGAACTAACATAGCACATGCAAAATTATGTAAGCAGCATACACAGGAATTACTGAACCAGCTCTATTTATTGTGTAAAGCTGCCAGATCGAGGCTCGGCATGCCTATAGCGGCTGTGTGCAAAGAACGAATAGTGACAGCTTTATAGCTACCATGGAAGTTGGTCATTCATCAGGTGTATATCACAATTGTCGATGAGTTTGTATGCTGCACTCATGCTTGTATTTTGTAAAATTTCCTCCAAAGTTCTACTGGTAGCATTGTGAACATAATTTTGGAATGCTGAAATAATTCATGCATTTTTCCCAAGACACAATCCAGTCAAAGGTGTCTTTGAAATACAGCTGTTTGTAGCCTACCTGAAATATTGTTGATTTATATTCATTTCAATACCCCTTTGGTAGAGTCAATGCATGTACAGGTATGTGCAGGCTACTGCATGATACTGTAAGCATGCACAACCAACTATTGGTGATCTGCACATGTACTCAGGACAAGTGCGTAAAACGTTCTCCACCATCCTCTATCTTCTTTGCTGGTAGGGAAGGATCCTTCTTGTAGGAACAAATATTAAAGCAATTCACATCATTTGTAAGTTTTATACACAACCTGCTGTAGCCTCCTTTGAACGATAGAAGATCAGCCCCACATTCTATTATCACCATATTTTTCTTTTAAAACTTTAAGAGTGGTTTATGGTATTGGGCAAATGTTAGACAGTACAATAATGTTTGGGCATAAAGGTGGTCTAACAAACTGTTTCGTATTCAGCACACAGGGGGCATCCCAAATCCGAATAATGTTTTGAATGCATGTTCTCATCAGGATGATTTATACATGTATGTTATTTCATATGTAATCCTGCATTTTTTACAAAATTCATTTCAGCATTTAGTCATGAATTCATGTTTATGAAATTGAGAGTTCAGAAAGGAAACTCTTAGGTCTGGAACTTGAAGTGGACTTTGTTTTATAATAAAACAAAAGTTTGAAGATGTTTACCATGTTCTGAAACTGGACCAGGGCCAAATATCGTAATGCTTCTTAGCACACAATACTTGTGGTTTGCTCATGTAAAAAAAAACAACCATTCATCTCACTAGAGACTCTGCATTTTGAAAAGCAAAGGGCACCTCTATTTGAAAGGGAGAAGTGGCTTTAACCACTTGCTGCCGAGTGGATTTTTCTTGAGCAAGACAAGATACCGGGTCCTTTTCAAAATTTTCCGTTTTCAAAATTCTTCAAAAATTCATTATTTCATTTAATGGCCGTTTATACCCACATGAAGGACTCTTTGGGCACTACTCTAAAGCTAACAGTTAACCTTCATTGACTTTTGAATATTTCAGCCAGGTCTGCAGCCTTGGAAAAAGAGCCCAGATTGTGCGGTGTTACGTAAGATTCTGTTGTTTCTGAAACAGGCACAGTGCACTGCTGACCTCTTTTCAATAGGGGCCAGATTAGCATGTGAAGCAGGGGCAGATTTAATTTAGTTTATTTCCTTTGTACGAAATGCAAATATCCACGCACTGTATAGGAGTAGCACCCCCTAGTCTACCCATCCTAAAGTTGCATTGTGGCCCCTCATAATTGTTTACTTGATGACTCATGCAACTGGACAGGCACTGTGGGCATGCTTTGAGCCCAAGTCTCAGCAAGCAGGTTGGCAGTCGGTGAAGTAACACACCTATTAAATACCAGTCAAGTTCTGCCTTGAAAGCTCAGACCTGCGGTGGACTTTGTAGTTAACGCTTGAGTTGAATTGATCTGTAACTTTTCTTAAGTGCTGTGTTGGTTTTGTCGGTTTTGTTGGTTTTGTAGGTTCTTGGTTTTTTCTTGTTATTTGGGTTGGTCTTGTTTTAGATTGGTTGAGCCTTACCTTGATTCTGTTGCGGATTTACTTTGGTCTAGGATTGGTCTAATTTCTAAATTTATTTTTGGTCTTGGTCATATTTCTCCTACATTTTAGGGTTGGTTTCAACAATTTTCTGATTTTCGACTTAGTCCTGTTTTTTTAGTTCTCCAGTTGCATTCCTTTTTGGGGGGATACTTTTTAGAAGAAATAAAAGATTTTGTTGTTAGAATCAAGTTTCAGTCCCCGTATCCCTATTCTTTTAGACTTCTTGCGACTCCTCCCTTTTGATCCTGTTGAAAGTTTTTTTTGCGAGTTCCTCAAGTGTTTTGTTTTCTTCAAGTCTCTTCTTTATTTTTTTATTCTCATCTGAAGTGTGCCATTTTTCCCCATTACACATGCAGCGGTGCTGTGTGGCTCATCGCTGCGGTGGTGGAGAGCTTATGTCCCTGGTGGTAGTCCGCTCGCTCTAAATGCCTCAAACCATGGTATACTGTTTTAAAACAAGGCTGTATTATCTCCACTATTGAGAGCAAAAAAAGTGTCGGTAATGCCCAGCTGCTCAGTCTTTTGTGCTGAGCACGGTCTTTTGTTATAAGGCCCAACTCTTTTGTCCCAGTTCCAGGCTTCCCAGCTCTGCATATAAAGTCTATGTACTCGAAAACGGGTCGCCCGGCAGGAAGTGGTTAAGAAGTGAGTAGAAATCTCCATGCATTTTTTGTATTACCATCACCGAATCTTAGAATGTTTGGAACATAGTTTTCAACTGTCCTGTGAAGATAAAATTCTCTACTTTGCTATTTTATTGGGTACATGGGGGCTATATTTTTCTACAATTAGAAATTGTTACCAAATTACTTTTAAACTGCTTGTAAAAATTGTTGTCGATATATGAAATAGATATTTGTAATGGTATTTTTACCAACAAAGTGTGTTCTGTAGATATGTGTAAGTGAATTGAAGTAATGCATCATCAACCTATATTATTAAAATCTTTTTGAAGGCATGGCCTCAATAATAAGTTGACATTTTAAGTATGAAGTTTAAATTTGCCAATGCTACATCTATATAGAAACAATACCGAAGGCTTAAATGTTCTAATTCTTTTACAAAAAGCTCTGAATTTGTGAAACAAAACTTTAAAACCATGTCACTTTTGTGTTTGCCAGAAGAATAATTTTTCAACTAGTTTAAATGTATTTAAAGGTAAAAATCTGTATACTTTTGGAAATTTGGTTTGTCTTGCAGGCTTCAAATACCAGTAAGCAACTTTCAGTTTTTCGTGTCATGAGTACATTTTACTCTGGTCAAGGTCTGATCGCATTTTTGTGACTGTTAGTGTTCCATCAACATCCCAGAATGTGCATATTCACCATTTTTACATATACACACTTTCGTTACATTCAGTTTTGAAGCTTACAACAGATACTGATAGTATCTTAAACAGTCTTCATTCTGATAAGAAGCTTGGAAAGAGGAGTACATGCTGGAGAGCACTTCTGTATAGTCTAGTGAATATGTACTATGGTGCTATGAAACCATAAATGCGTCCACTTTAGTATTAGGTTTAAATTGCATTGCTTCTAGATTCATCAAATAATCAGATACTTCCGAAGTTTGGTTCATGAATTCATGATTTCAAAAATTCAATTTTGCATGCAATACACATGTATAAGCTCGGCCTCGGTCACATTTAATAGCTTTATTTCAGTGGAAGCCACTCTTTTGTACCTCTGGGCTATCATTGGTGTTGGCAGTCACACTGAATCAATAAAGATGCCATATATTGGGCTTTACAAACCACACCCTCTCCAGTTAGAAGCAGGAAGTTCTGCTTTGTTTTTTTTTTCATTGGCTCCAACATTGCTCTGGAAGAAAACATTGTGAACTATAGGGAAGCATTTGTGCAATGAACAAGCGTAAAGTGATTGGGTAGAAAATCCTTCTATCATAGTTTTATTCTGTTGGGGGATTTATATTGTAATAACAGAGACCATTGCACTTCAAGATTTACCTTGAATGTAGAAAATTGAATTTAACAGGAAAATAAGTGTCTGCAAGTTTTTTTTGTTTATGTGTGTTGGAGTTATGTTAAGCTGTTTTGTTTTGTGCATGTCCGTTTTGCATGTTGCACACATGCGCACACGAAGTCTTACACAATTGATTTTTAAATCTGTTTTAAGCTTAAATATATTAATGTTAATTGCTTGTTGTGTGATACCTGATAACTTGTTCATGCACAGTCGCATAATAAACTTCAAGTATTTATTCAACCATTTGATGGGCAAATGAGGATTTTTTCTCATCGTTGACTGAACCAACAATTTAAATACATGCATTAAAGATCGCTATCTGTAAGCTGAGGCTGAAGACATCATTTCATTCTTGCTTCAATCCTCAGACTCTTGTTATGTGCATGAAGATCACTGTATCACCGAATTTTCATGCAATTGCAATTTTGCCACATATGAACCTAAAATTCCTGAAATATTTTAACCTGAGGGTGCACAGCTATTTATGTCATCAGTCCCATGAGGAACAATTAACTTTCTCAATGAAGAATAACATTACTGGAATCAAGTTCACATTTTATGAATTTCATATTTGGTTTCAACCAGAAGCAAGGGTCAGGAGATTTTGCAAACATTACTGAAGATGTAGATTTACTCCGTGACGTCTGCAAAGACTAGGTATGGACTCTCTTGGTTAAGTTTCTGTGAATTTTCAAAGATTAGATATTTAATTGCCTTTTGTTGCATACCTGATGACATCATCATAAGGTCACTGCAAGACCCTATGTTTAATGTATGGTTTGATGGGCAAATCAAAATTATCCTTCGATTGATGTTTTAAGTGATTTAACCGTGGGGTGTATGTAAAATCATGTTGAAATCAGAGGACTGTTGGGGTTAAAGGTCTTTTCATTGTAACTTCTTGTCTGATCATGTCATCAGCTTTAATCCTCAGCCATGCAATGTCTTCATGGAAGTCATTGTACTTAACAGTTCTCAATTAATTGAAATAAATTTTTCGATGCATCTGAAAAGACTTTTCTTACTTTTTTCAACGTACCGTTTGTGGGCATTAATTTGAGTATTTCATGATGATATCAGTCCAGTTTTGAACACTAATTAGAGAGGGACATCCTAGAAAGCAAGTTATATCTTTTTCCAATTTCAAGTGGAGCCCTTTTCAGTTTCTTAAGTCTTGTGACTTATTGTTAGTGCCAGGTGCTGTCATTTGTAAATTAAGTTAGGGTCAGATGATTTAGCAAACACTTAATAAAGAAGAGACCAAAATTTACTCAACTTGCCACAAAGCATGTTGATTTTATATTGATTATAAAAAATTTTTAGAAAAAATTAATAAAAAGTTTTTGTATTTTTTGCCTTTCTCTTCCTCTCCTTTTGCTTTGTATTCCTCATACATCACTGGGTTTTCTTCCTTAGTTTATTTAAATACACAATTGTCCTGCAAGGCCCCTTCTTCGGACATTTCTCTCTCTTCCTGAGGTCCCAGTTAAATTTCATTTGTAGTTTCTCTGCCATGTTAAGGTTGCTTGTGTAACAGAGCACTTTTGGCTCATACATGTACTGTACATTCGGTGTCTACAGTGTGTATGACTTCAGGCAGGGATTGCAACCATTTGAAAGCATGGCTCCATGTATACATGGTGAAAGCTATACTGAAGGATGCTTTAGAAATGTATAAAATTAAAACAACAGAATCAGCACATGATCCATGCATGATAAGCTGCATTGTTCCATTTTTCATAGGTAAAACCACAGAGCTCTATGGTAAAGCCAATGAAATGGCTGTGAACACAGAGTGTAATGCTAAAAACTTGTGTAGGTAGATGGTTTTAAACTTGTTAAAAAAAGTGTCCTTTCCTGAACACTCTTAATACCCCAAAACTTGTTTGAAACAGTAAACCTTACTGAAATTAGGACAAACTGATGCATTAATTTTGTGAATTTGCCTGTATGAAACTGTAAATCAGCCAATTTCTGATAAATATTTGATCAAGTGTGAATTAGATGGATAATTGATATGGCATATACCAGCATTTTTGGGCCAATTAATTGGTTTCAATTTTAAGGCACAAACTCTACAGACAATATAAGCAAACACTTCATCAAATTTAAGCAACAGTGGCTTAACTGGGCACTCTGTTAAACAAAATGTTCAGGAAAAGACAATGAAGTTTAACAACAATGCCGTGACAGCAAGCACGGTTCAAGTCTGATTTCTTCTATAGTCTGTTTGATCTTGTAAGTTCTATGCCGAGCTACCAGTTAATCCCCCCCCCCAAAAAAAAACCAATTTGTCTGACTTTCTGCAAATCATGGGATGCCATGTTCAGGAAAGGACATTTTTAACATTTGCATGGCATATTCATGAGCATTTATATCTTATTTACTTTGGTCACTGCAGTACAATATTTTTATATTAGGTGATTAGAGTATGTAGTGTTGTGTTGACGGGTAATGAGTTACATTTCGTTTCCATTCTGGAAGAAACACCATGTTCAGGAGTGGACAGTTTGAAAAAACATTTAACAAACCAATGTCTCACTCAAAACAGTGTAAAAAGAAATGGTCAACCAACCAAAACTGAGACTCCAAATCTTGTGTTTTAGCACCCGTTTTTAATTCATATCTTGAGAACCATAATGCGTAAGGCCTTCAAATTTATTTTGGAGATTGCAACAATGTAAAACTCCATGTAAGACAAAAAGCATTAAGTTTCAGCAAAGTTTCCAATCAAAAAAAAAGCATCAATAACCAATTTTTCAGTTTGCAACCTTTCCCGTGAAACTACCCAGATGTACAAACCAAACAATTCTGTGGAACTCAAGTTCTTCCAGCAACATTCTGAGAAAAAAGGTGACAAATGACAAGATGATAAGTCCAGTTCATGAGTATATTCAGTTCATGTTTATTTTACATAATACACAGCTGACCTCAAATACTTCAAACTTGAGTTAATGTGAACAATTATGGAGAGCAGCCATCTATGCAACTTGTAAATGCTCACCTGCACATAATTTTTCTGTGAAAATGCGTGTTTCAAGGACAGCCAGCCAGTTGGCTTAAGGTTTTATAGCATACTTTCATCTTTTATATAACAAGGAATTGGAATAACACAACTTCTTCAAAGTTTATTTTGTTTAAAACGGGATCAAAACCATCTCCAGTTGATAGTGTTCATTGAATTTATCAACACTTTTTCAGTCATGTGTGCCACTGCAATCTAGATGCATTTTAACACAAAGATTACATGTCCATGTATTTGAAAATCTTTTCCTTATTAAACTGTGGAAATTCTTTTTTCAAAGGATATGTACAAGTCCTTTGATTCATGTACAACTTAAGTCTGTTAAATGATGATTTTGCAAAATGTACAAGGCTGTTAAACAGATGTATTCTTTAGGCTTTGGGAAATAATTGCAATGATGTAATTTTATAGAAGTGATAAAAACTGTGGTTTTTTTTGTATTACATTTTGCAAGTGGTAGGCATTCATGCACGTAGCAAAACAAAACTGTACAAGATACATGTATTACAGTCCGAGTCAGTAAACACTTTCATGTGTGACATTTTTGCCAAAAGCAAACATTTCTGGGCATTTTAATCTTGAAATGGAAATAGGACAAAAAGTTCTTCCTCACTTTGTCACCATAAACATCACATTGGCATAATTTTGCCAAAGACGGTCTTACAGTATTTCTTTCCAAACATTAAACCATAAATGTAAATGGGTAGATCTGCATTTTACAACTTTCTGAAACTTGTTTGACCAGCTGCCTATGGACATCAGGTTTAGACAGAACACATCACACATTTCAGTGCTTTAAATTCATACCTTTATGCACAACACGACATCCTATTTTACTGCATCTTTCTCACAGAAACTGCTCATGCATTACGCTCCCCCTCCAAAATGTCTGTCAAATACATGGGATAAAAACCTACAGTACTATGCACAATAAATGCCAGTTCATCTTTCTCATCTGCGTCTATCAGTTAAGAAACTACTAAAGGCTTCAATGACTATGTAAACTTCCCACGTTTATCTCTTATGTGTGCATGTAGTTATGTTATAAATTTGGTTTAAATTTTTTTGATTAACAAATCATATTTTTTGTAATTAAAAGACATTTTTTGATGGAGAAGGTTTAAATAAAGAAAATGAGCACAGCGCTGTTCTTCCAAAATAAGGCTGCAATATTTGTAAGGTTTCAACATCCAAATCCTCAGTTTTTCTTATATTCAATTCTCTCTACTTTGACATCATCTCCAATCAGCTGATAAACATATGTAACAACCGTCGATGCCTGGATGTCCATAAGTACGAATGAAGGGTTGATGTTGCTGTTGATGGGGAAAATAAAAACATGAAAACTGTTACAAAGTTAACTAAATGTTAATTACCACCTGTCTGGACCCCTTAGAAGATCAGGGTACAATAGCAATGAAAATAAAATTTTTAAAAATCAATTCAAACGTAAGGGTCTGAATAATCATTTTTTCCTTTAAAAATACGATGAAGCTCAAATTCCTAAACAAGTATATGCAGGATCAGATAACGGTATGAACTGAGAGATCACTGAAGTAGAAATTCAGGCCCCCATGGTGCCCCACCACACCTCCATCAAGGGCTGATTACAAAAAACTTGGATGCCTTTCCAATCTCTTTCTTTGCTGATTATGTTAATGTATCACTTATTTGTCTCTTGAATACTGTCACAAGTATACATAAGCCGTACCTTTCTAATGCGTTGAACGCACCAGTCGCTGAGCCTGGGTTGATATAGAATTTATTCTCATGCTCAAATGCTTCAAACTTGTGTGTGTGCCCTGAAATAAGGATATCTACATCCAGCTGCCTCTGCACCATTGCAAGGCTCTCCACATCCCCCCAAGGAATAATCTGGTGACCATGGCATATACCAATGCGAAACTGTCCAACAGTGACCACCTTTTGTTCTGGATAGGAGACATTCTAAGTGTGAAAGTAATCAAAGAGACAAGAGATTACAGAATGTAAAATCAGCAACAGGTACAGGTACATGGATGAGTACATGTCAATCCAAGGAACATGTACATTAAAAACAAACTCTAACCTACGTACATGAACTAGGCATGTAACTTTACAAATACATGAACTACAGGATATTAGGCATGTAACTTTACAATACATGAACAACAGGGTACTAGGCATGCAACTTTACAAATACATGAACTACAGGATATTAGGCATGTAACTTTACAATACATGAACTACAGGGTACTAGGCATGTAACTTTACAATACATGAACAACAGGGTACTAGGCATGCAACTTTACAAATACATGATGAACTACAGGATATTAGGCATGTAACTTTACAATAAATGAACTACAGGGTACTAGGCATGTAACTTTACAAATACATGAACTACAGGGTACTAGGCATGTAACTTTACAATACATGAACTACAGGGTACTAGGTATGTAACTTTACAAATACTTCTTAATAAATCTTACATGGTCAGTTACGGTTTGGGATTGATCAAAGAATTATTTTGTGTTTTTTGGTTGTATATACCTTTACGAGGTTGAATTAACTGTGAAAGAAGTAACTACATGTAGTCTGTAGTTGAGTTGGTCAAAGGAAATTGACATGTACTTCTCACAAAAAACGTCTGTACAAAAAAATGTGGTAGATTTGTAATTTTTTGGTCTAATATTTTTGAAGTTTTGTGTCTACAATGTTTAAAATTTTTTACCATATTCCTGCCACCTCTGAAAGGAAGCTTATTTTCAGGAAGTGGTTGTTGATTGACTGATAACAATGTTACCGAGTACTTTACACTTGGATAGATTAATCAAATAACAGTTTTGGACCTACATGTACAGTGTACCCAAAGTCAATGTTAGCTTTGAAGTAGTAAACACTCCTCACTGGAATTTTTAATCAAAAACAGAAAAGCATGTATATTGCTGTAGATTTCCAGGGAGACTGCCAATATACATGTACATGTATATCTAAATCTTACCTCATCAAAGTCTCCTCTGACAATGTGAACATCACTGGCAAGTGTCTTGAGATAATCATAAGATTCCTTAGTGCAGAGATTGCCAGTGCACAAAATATGTTGGATCTTGCCTGGGACCAGTAGCTTCTTGAACTTGGCTGGCAAACCACTCTGCCGATGAGGGATGTGAAGATCTCCTAATACCAGAACCAACTACCAGAACAAAAAAAGTGGAGCAATCTTCAATATGAAATTCAGAGGTAGAAATTAAGAAAATTCTACTTGTGACAGTTTAAAATGCGACATCCCCACAGGAAGATACGTATTTTCTGATCAGCTGACCTTTTTGCTCGTCTCACCTCATTTTTCCTGCATTTAAAATTAAAAATTAAATTAAAATGTCCAGGCAGCCTTGAAAATGGGAGCAAGCAATGCAAGAGAGGAATACTAAACATGACCTTTTATTTTTCATGTCTCATTCTAAAAGGGGATATATGCATATAATGCATCAAAAGTAAAGTTCGAAATCAACTCATGTAACAGTTAGCATGTCAAAGTTGACAAACAAATTCTACATTTTCGGGGTCAGCACAAATACAAAGGAACATTAATGATAGTGGCACATGAGGTTAATACAATAGACTTGAGAACAATCATAACTTTGTTATACAAGATACGATGATTCCAAAATCAGGTTTTGTTCATGTACATGTAACTAGGACTTTCTTGATGTAAAATCATAACTTCAAAATGTGCTCTGTCCATCGACATCTGTCGAATCGACATACATGTACGTATGGCTTGGTGATGATCAGACATAGTAACTGGATGCTTGAGAGTGCGTCAAAGTTTTTAATTTTAGTCAATCATAGACTGCTTTTTTCATCAACCTTTTGGTTCACTAGTGAAATTGTTGCTTGTCTCATCTTATCAGTAAGCAATATCTGAAAAACAGGAGCCCGTAATTCAGTTTTCCTACTTCCTGGCCAACCCAGACCTAGTTTACACTTAAAACTGGAGGATGAAATGGATTCTGAAACATCAGCAACTATCACAATCTTACCCCAGTCCCTCGACAACCCTAAGCATAATGATGACCTATATGTACATGTGCCTACAACAATACTGATAGACTAATTAGTCCAACACAATGAAAAGCAACAAACAACCTAAATATAATTACACACAGCAATGTCATTCCTGACTCAGACTGCAGTGGCTCTTCACAATACTCCCAATCTACAGGTCAACTTCCATTTATTAAGAGCCAGAACACCATGAGCCAACCAACACAATCTGCCACATGTCAAACTTACTAAAATTATCCCTATCGAAATGGCCAAAGCTCTAAATAGCCTGGGTGGGAATTTTGTGAAAAGTGTCAGTAAGAACAACCAAGGGAATATTACCATTAAATATCATACTCGTGCTCAGGCAAAAAACTGAAGCCATGTGTGATTTTGATCAGTGGGTCATAAATCCTGAATTCTCCAAATCAGAGACCAAAAGCAGGGGAGTTATTACTGGAATGCCCACTGAGGGTCAGATCCTCGGCCTAAAGAGGTCGGGAAAAGACTTCAAATATTGCGACATCTGGGTTTTAGAGGTAGATTGGCCACCCAGAAACTAGGGTTGGCTGATTTAAATCACCTTGATTTTGTATCAAATGATTTTTTTGACAAAATCATTATACATGTTTTTTTAAACTACAATGCCAAAATATTTTTACTGGGTGACACATGGATCTGGGACTGATTTCTTACAAGAAATGGGTCGAAGAAAAAATGTCTCCATACTCATATTTTTACTGGGTGACACATGGATCTGAGACTGATTTCTTACAAGAAATGGGTCAAAGAAAAAATGTCTCCATACTCATATTTTTACTGGGTGACACATGGATCTGAGACTGATTTCTTACAAGAAATGAGTCGAAGAAAAAAATGTCTCCATACTAGTGGAAATCAGACATTTCCCTCTTTACACAATTCTTTGTTGATTAGTCACAAATTATTACAAAACAACCACAAATGTTTCACTGCACTAAACAATGTTCAAGTGATTTCCAAAATTTTTATTTTGACCATCTGCCCCAAGTTGGAGAGCACCCTTGCTGACAAAGAAGAGACAGCATTCATGGGGGCAAGTTTTACAATTGGGCTTGTGCATATGCCAGGCACAAGCACAAAGATCATGTATTCAAGCAGAAGTTGGTTAGAAATGCTCAGAAATGCATTCCCCATGAATAAAACAAAACATGCATGTGCATGCGGTAAGTTCCCAACCAAGGATCACCTCTGCTATAGGTATGCTCTCTCTCTGAGCAGATTGTAAAATAATCCATACTAAAATGATTTTGTAAACAGTGAGCAATTTTGTTCAAAATTTTGTACAGCAAATTTGCTACACAATTTTCTTTTTGTATAGCAAAAAAATTGATTTTGTGTAGCAATCAATTAGTTTTTCATAGCAAATACAAAATACATGTAGATGATTGAAAAGTAACAACTGGGGGTCGAGGCATTTTGGTGGGTCGGGCAGGGATGATCAACAATTTTTTATGCAGCCTGAGAACAAAAATCTGTACAGCAAGGACCTGACCAAGTTTGGTGAACTTTGTCATAATCATAGTCTAGGGACTTTGGTTATTTGAATTCAACTTTATTTTGAGTTGAAAAAGTTTGGGCAAGTAACGATACACCTGCAGCATTGCTGCGTTTATCACTAGCCATGTCTGTGCCATCAGCCCCGGTTGGTAAGCCTATGCCTGTCTGCAGCAGGCTTCCAGAGCTACAGCTATTAGGCCCCCAAAAAAGTAAAAGTCACTGGGTTCCAGTCAGCGTGTGCATTGCTATAGACCTGCATGTCAGCAAAATAAAGCTTTTATTTGGTAATCATACAATGTCAAAAAGCAGCCAAACTTGCTTGATCGAGTGGAATACTGCTACTTTGTAATAAAAACTTGTTTTAAATGGGGTACAGTTTAGTAACATGTACAGTAAAGAAGTCCCCCTAGACCCTCATTAATTTAGTCGGCCACTCTTTCTCAGATGACGTCATATTGTATCTGTAGTATACATTTAAATCTGAGAAGCAGTCAAATGAGGTGGTCTTATGTCCTGTGTACACCTGCAAGCTGGAGCCACTTTTAACCAATCTCGTTTAGTGTTGGTAGCAGGGGTATGTACGTAGATGTACAAGCACATGTGCCTGTATCATTTCTAGGAAAACAGTGAGGCAAGAAAGAAAAGCCACGTTGTGGCACTACTTTTGGAGCCAGCCCCTGATACCGCAGACTTTTTTTGGACCTTATTAGTGCATCTACATATATTTTCAATGCAGTAACATAGACCGTCATGTAAACCACAGATTTAAGCTGTGCTGGAGTCTGGTTTGCAATCCGTCTTCTGTGTATTTTTCAGTGGCACAGCACGGCAGCAGGAATCTCTCGCATGCTGCACGTGATTTTGTCACAGTGGCAACTTTCCAAGTTGCATGTGCCGACTGCCTACACATACGTATACATTAATATGTACATTTCATGCGGGTGGTCATTGTATGTGGTACAGCTATTGCGTCATGGGATTTTCATCGTATTTTTAATTAAACCGATAAATGTTCAGGTAACTATTTGTTGAAGATCACCCAAGATTTTTTATTCTTGATTGAAAATCTCCATCCCAAACTTTATCACAAATTGCATCTGACAACTGCGACGTAAATGTAATTTTGAAATTGCTTGCAGAATTGCCCAAACACATCACTAAATACGATGTGATACAAATCAACAAATCTCAAGAAAAAAGCTCAGTTACACTAGAATTAACTCTTTGCTTACTTAATCAAGACAAGTGATCAAAAACTGTCATACTCACTGAAATTACTGGGCAGGTTAAGAAAATTAAGACTTTTTCGTATTTGCAGAATGTGGAATTATTGCCACTTTGTCATAAAAAATGGGCTTCATGCCCAACTTTGGATGGAAAGAAGCACTTACATCTATTAGGAAAATGGGCATTGGGTACGCAATAGGTACAGTATTCTTACGAGTTGAAATAAACAAGAGAAAAGGAATGCAGTACATGTAAGTGAAAAAATGGCAGATTACGAGAAGAAACGGGACTTGTTTTTATTACGTATAAAAGACAGTCCACTTCAAAACACTATTATTCATGGTAATTTGAATGTGCACAGAATTTTTAGGGTAGGCCTGCCAAATTTAACAAGACTGGATTGCAGACTAGTTCATCTCTTAGGAATACAGAGTTCTCTACTGGTACCAATATTCCGTTGTGCAGTGCTTACCAATACATGTCTCCCACTTGGTGAACAGTGGGCCAAGATTAGGTCCAAATAACTGCCCATTTCGAAGGGAATTGATTTTAGAAAAAGGCCCAAAACAGCATGCACATGTGGAATGGGCTTGGGTAATGTACAAAGGTTGTAAGTAGAAGAAAATAATCCATCCCTCCCCCATCTAAGTTTCAAAAATAGTTGTGCCATTATACATGTACAGCGGTCTGCCATCAACTCATGACGCACATGTGTGTGTGATGTGTTTGGGTCAAATGAGAGGGTGGTGGGTATAAGCCCAAATTTTTTTCAAGAAAATATCAGTAGCATAGTTTTTATTGCACAGGGGGGAGGGGGAGAGGAAGGGGGGATTCAATCTTGTTTTCATTGAGGGACTACCCTTTGTGTGTCACAGCTGGTATGCGCTGTACACTGCACTGTAAGGCTTACACGGGAATGGATGTATCCATATACATGTACTTTGATATGTTGCGATAATACAATTTTTATACATGAGGGCAGACTTAGAACCTGTTTAGTAGAGGATGGCCGCAAAATGAAAACAAAATTTTATTCCCTCACTTCTGAAAATGGTTGAGCCGATATGCAACAGTCGGCCCTACCTTGTTCCCAAGGGTACATGTACATCTTACCCCATCATGTTGGTTCATTGAGATCAATGGTTGGTTCCCATTCATCTTTAAGAATAGTGAAGGAATGCACATGCAGCCCTTAAAGTCAAAGTTGCGGTCGGCCATCAACCTAATGCAAGGGCACTGTGTGATGCACGCAAAATGTGTGATGTGTTTGGGTTGTTGTCAGGAGAATGAGAGGGTGGTGGGTAAAAGCCCAAAGACATCGTTATTCCCATTGTCTTAAAACCGTAGATCAGTAGATCAGAAGATTTTAAGAGATATGCATCAGTTTCAATGACTTTTCAGAGGAAGATTTGATTGAGAAAGTGGACTTTTTGAAACATAAATGTACCCTGATTTGATGTAACTGGGCTGCATTCAAAAATCCATATTGTTAAGAACCCATAAAAAGTTGTAGGGCTCCAAGTCACACAGAGTACATGTAGTGACTTCAAGTTCTACAAGTACATGTAGTTCAGCGCAGTCTTGAATCTAGACTCGTAAATAAGGCCTTATATACATGTATACTCAGGCACGGAACTCTCTGCAAGCACATAGCACAAAGTCAATACTGTATGGGGCCTGTCTTAGGGCCCCGGAAAATGTTGAGTCCTAGATGCTCTCTGGTGCATTCTGGGCAGTTCTGACCACTTGAATTGAATTTTAGATGTACAAGTATATTTTTTATTTCAAAATATGCACACTTTTCAAGATTTGTTTTACCTTTTGTATTTGAAGTATACAACATACATGTACATATCTGAAATTTGTCTAATTGATGCTTCTTGTTGATTTAATTTCTCCACGTGAGTTACATGTACATATAGTCTGGCCTTCTTGGTACCTTGGCAGCAATTTCTAGCACTCTTCTTTTTGTTGTGGTGGGTTTTGGGTGTTGAAGTGGATGCTTGGCAGAAGCTTTTTGTTCAGTGAGATGCTTGACTGATTTTTCTCTGGCCTTCCGCATGTTAACCACAAGAATCTTGTTGATTGGCTCATAAAGAAAGTCTTTCTTCAAGAAGAGTGCTAGGGACCACGTCCTTCCTTTTCGAAATCATTTTTCCATATTGTGAAACAATCACACATATACATGTACGTACATGGCACAGAGTGACAGCACGTGCAGTTTGTATCCTGATGTTGCGACGTGCAAATCGATAGAGACAAAGATATGAGCCAGACTATCAACTAGAATAGAACAGAGGGTGCTATGATAATTATGAATGGAACGAAGTCAGGTGTTTTGGTTATTTAACAGTTTCCTCTCATACAGTAGCACAGAACCTGACGACAATTTTTATCCTTTTTTCCACATGGAAGCACAATTGTATGAGTTTTCACTGAGTGCCAGTGAAGCCTCAGCATGTCCGCCGCGTCCCATTTTTTTAAAATGCAGAAATACACAGATGAGTTGCAAGCCTGTATACTCCTTCATTGACACTTGGCCCTGATCCGATTAATAGGAATTTCTTTCTATTCGGTTTTCATTTTGATTTAAGTTTTATCCAGGGAGATTCCACCGCTATGTTCACTACTTACACAGGTAACTATCACAGAAAAATCACCTTTCCTTCATTCTGAGGAAAAATTGTTGCCTCCCTAAGCTTGGAGTTGGACATTTTCCCCACTCCGGATGAATTTTGGCCTAACTTGCGCATAAGACAGACTCCTTTGTAAGTGACAGCCTGTCTTGTTAACACCCATACTTCAGCAAGTACAAATCTCATTCAGATCCCCAAGACTACCTGTTTAATCCAGGTATTCGTGGAAAAACTGATGGCTGTTTCGTGTCACAGTGTAAGTGCAACACTGCCCTCAACTTGGCAAGTTCCTTGTCCAGTCACACAAGCACAAATACCACTTGCAATGAATCGCTGCTGAACACGTAGAGTGGCCTTACTCTCTGTGAAATGGAACTGCTGTCAGTTTTGTGCAAGTTGGGCCAACAACTTCTATCAACAAAGGAGTATACATGTACATCGGGCCCTATTTGCAGTTTACAGGTCTAGGACATAGCCTAACACTTTACTGACTGTAACCATACTCCATCTCCCATAAAGCCTTAACTTTAATTATTGTCTAATACCGCATGGGTGATTTTGCACTATGGTACCCCCAGAACTTTGGGGTCCGACGCCCGTTCCTCTCCCACAAACCCCACAGAAAAAGAGCCTTGTTCGCCATAGGCTATGCATGACGTTTAACATGGCACGAACAGCGATTCCATTCGAGTTGTGTACCCATAGAAATGTTGCTTCATTTCCCCAAAGAGTTTATGTAGGATACCTTTGTTTTGGAGTACCAAGAGAGAAAATGGCCAAAACCATGCTATTTTTAAAAAAAAGTGGAAATTATTTCCTGATTAGTGTCTGAGAGTCACAAGGTTCACATGTGTACTTGCGAAGACAAGCCACGACCAAATCATTGATTACTGCTGCAATCAATACACAAGGCATGGAAATTGGCTACAGCCACTTTTCGTACGTGTGTGTGCAATTCTCAGCTGCGCTTGTTGGAATGGCAGTTGGCCGCAGCGCTGGGGTCACACTTACCAACCACAGGGCTCCTCATTATTTATGCCCAAATTGAAGGAAGACAAACAACATCCATTGGGTGCACAAAGCCGCTCAACAGGAACCGTTCACTGTGGGACAGCCCGCTCACGTGCACTGGTACCCAATGGCCGTAGACTTTTATTGGTTAAAGATGTATAAATACACAATATTGTAGAGATCTGATTTTTATTAAAATGAAACAGTAACTTATCTTTTGAAAATTGAGGAATAAAAAAGAGGATTACACTGAGGGCATGATGATGATGAACAGGCAAGAGGGATGCTAGTCTGATCGGGTACACATTATGCAGAGGTAATATGGCCCACGCATGTGCGTTAAGCAGCAATCACACACAAACCGTGCTGTTGATCAGCCTTTCCTTTTTGTTATTTGTAAACTAAACATACAATAAGCAGACTGAATTGGTAATTGGAAGTGACGAGTTGGATTTTAGAGCAATGGACAGATAGCTAGACTGTGTGGAAGTTCTTGAAAATCTCCAAATTCATAATCAAACTCATACCTCACGTAGGCCGACATCAAACACCTAGAAACTCAAATTCATGTGTACTATGTAATTGTTTGGTGTCCTCTGGAATCATAAGTGCCTTCCGATATTCTTGTCAATGTTTTTCACCAGTGAAGAAGTGGATCCCCATCAAAATAGGTGATTTTTCGTTTTAAGTTCGAGCCCAAGAGATCATGACTGTTAATCGCCGTTATTGACTCTCACATCAGTCTAATATATTAAAAAAACTTATCTGTGCCAGTGCGTTTTGGAAAAGTTCTCCATCAGTATAACTTTTAAAATGCACAAATCAACAGATATGAGTAAATTGCTAGCAACAGAAATGTGCCAATACCTTGCTGGATAATACCCTCTCCCCTCAACCATACAGAACTGCCGGGAGTCCCTTAACTATATTGAATTTTGTGAACACCTTTTGTCTGCCTATTTAAGTCCACCTGTTAACACATAATACATGCTCAAAAATGGCAAGGATTTGTACAAATCATGAATTTTAACTTTCCCATACTGGACGTAGTAGACTCAGCTTGCATGCAGGTAACTAGGCCAACTGTCACCAATGCAGGCCACAGCCTCCCTTCCGGCCCGATGTTATGTGTTGCAATGGTACTCGTGGCTGACAACCACTTTGTGCGTTACATGCTTTATGTGATCATGGAAACCAGTGGATTCGGTTAGACTTCAGTTTCGCTGGTTCCAGTCAGAACATGTAGTTTTGATGTGCACATACGCAGCTCAGAAACTCGTACGCTGAATAGTTGTGCACGCACACTGTATACGAACAGCACGCATAAGGACGCATAAGAGTTACAGGCGTGAAATTGACTCCTTTGAAAAGGTACAAATGTTGAAAATTTTAGTTACAAAATTTTTAACCTGATGTTAGCACCCTTTATACCCTGGACTCTCTCCATAACGTAGTATGGTCAGGGAGTCCACCTGGGCTAAGGGTAGCACTATGGTAGAAACACACTGTCATGACTGTGGGAAGGAAAAGGGGGCAATGGTTGAATAATGAAACATTTAAATATGCCTCATGTGTTTCTGAAAGTGTTAGGACGTGAATCTACAACTTCTATTCTCATGGCCTCAGGCTACAACTAGGCCTACACGTACACATGTACAGTACGTGTTGGCCCTACCCTACATACATGTACAATGTACATGTAAAGTACACTGCGGTTACCTACCCGCCCTACCGTGCCCGGCTAGCAATGACCGGTAAGGTGCCCGCATGTACCGTCAGCATGATCAGTACAAAAAAATTAAGCCTAGGCCTACCTAAAGGTAAACCATATGCCCTGCCCGATGAAAAAGGGTATACTTTGTAGCACTTATGTTCATCCCTTGAAGACTGCAAAAACAACAAATAAAGAATAAATAAATAAAATACAATAATCAATTACCATTTTGCTTCAGAAGTGTGGGCGTACAGTACAGTAGAGCGTGGTGGAGACAGATCACAACTGGAGAAGGGTATACTTATAATAATTTATACTTACATCATCATTTGGCGCCTGGCAGTAGTTATGCCTATTCAATTTTCAGTTGTGCAAGGCGGCTTCAAGCGGACATCGCAAGTGGTGAATATTGTCGTATTCACGTTAATTAATCCTGGTTTCCATATCGACGTAAAGAGACGCAGAGAGATATCAGTCCCCGACAATATGCAGCGCAGTGAGATGGAAACACTTTATTGTGACTAACATAAACATCGACACAGACATAATTAGTTCGGGAACGTTGGATCAGGGCTAAGGCTTTTTAACTGGACTCCCACATATCCTTGGCACACCCTCCCCCAGGTGGGAGCTTTGTGATAAAGTGTTCTATGGTGATGAGCCCCATTTTTATTGTGTAAACAATGCATTTGACTAGATCTAGAGCCCTAATTTCTAAAACGCATCACATTGACAAAAGTTTTTTGGAAGATGTTAATTCTTACACATATTTTTTTTGGTTCCATCTGACCTTTGCAGGAAAATTGAAACAGTGTATCCAACGTTCGCCGACAGGTGCGTTTACGCGCGCTGTCTGAACTGTTCTAAACTCGCGTGCGTGCTGATTCATGTATTGACAAGAACAAAAAATATAATCAGTGCTCTGAAATATGTAATTCCCGAGCTTTCAGTAACTGAGTACCTTCTTCAGGTTAAGTAGATTCAATTCAGTTCATATTTCTCTGATCCATATCCGGTTCGTAAGTGTGACGTCACTTCAGTTTAAACCAAGCCCACTGCTCATGCACTGCACATAGAGTTACATGCACTGATATGATTGCCGTTTAAATGGAACCATGGAACCGGAAGTTAACGCACAACTTGAGCGATCATCCAATGGGAGCCTGTAAACCGTGGAGCGTCCGCCTAATTCATGTATATTTCAGAGGGAAATTCTTAACTGCGCATGCATGCGTAACACGAGTGCAGTAATAGGCGTGTGTGAGTACCAGATCAGAAGTGACCAAAACCAAAAGTGACCCCCCAAACTAAAAGAACTTTCCTCCAGACCACGTCACGGTGACTTCCAGACTAAAAGGGACTTTCCAACCTAAAAGGGACTTTCCCTTAGACCACGTGACTTCTGGTCTAAAAGGGACTTTCCCCAACTCATTAGGGACTTTCTGCCCGACGACGACGTCTCACAAAAGTTGGGCCCAAGCCGAAAAACTGAAAAATTCCCAATATTTCTCTAAAAGTAAAATGGGTCCAACTTTTGCCACTAAATTTGAATACACTAAATTAGTTGCCACTCATGCAGCGTGGTTAACTGTAAACGGTTACGAATGGAAAAGCGATTTAAAAGAGCAAGCAAAGCTGGACATGCAAAACCAAAGGCATCACATTTGCTTGGTGAGAACAACCAAAGACGGAAAACAAGTTTATAAATTAAAGGAAATATTTGAACTCGATGATTTGCTAGTCTCTTAAAATTGAAAAAATATTTAATTTCGTTAAAAAAAAACAGACAATATAAAATAGATATGTTAAACGAAAAAAATAGATATGTTAAACGAAAAAATCAACGTCATTTTTTTCATTTGCCAAGACAGGGTCGAATCAGTTAATTTGGTAGATGCAGTCGATTGCATATATTGCTTAAATTCTGACAGTTTATTCGAGTGCATTGATTGCAACGAATGTCATGACTGCGACAAATGTCACGACTTAATGTAACCAGTGCATGCTCGACGTGCGACGAATGCCGTGTAGTATTCTTGGAAAGCATTAAATGTCAAGGGTCACGCATTCCTCGTGATTGCAGTACAGCCACCAAAACAGCGTGTATGTCTCACTCCCTCATTCTAAGCTAAACGCCTTAGGACATCACAATTGGCGACGAGTCCGGGATTTTTCCGTGTTGTGGAGGAACCCTACAACATTAGCAAAGTGAATTTTACCGCCGATTGTAACCGTGAACAGTGCATTTCCACGTCGGAAAGACTGAGTCAGTGAGTAACGTCAAAACGTTTTGTTTCCGTACATGTGTCTACGTAACATGCATTAACCAGTAGTGATATACCTCGCCGCCGTACAGTAACTGTGATAGTCAACATGTCCGCAACTAATTTACCGTCATGCCCAGCCTTCCAGCCTCATCATGAACCATCCACTACCGGCGCACGGTGCAGGAAATACATAGTCAGGCGGGAGAATTTGTTTGTTGCATTCAGAGTCATTGCTGACCAAACAAGCGGGCATTGCTTCTACATTACTCTGGCCCTGAAGTAATGGACATCTTCGAGACTCTATTGGACACTGGTTCTACATATGAATCAGGGCAAAGTGCTCTTGCAAAGTACTTCGAACCGAGCAAGAACATCGAGTTCGAACGTTTTGTTTTTCGTGAGGCAAAACAACAACACAGCGAAACTGTCGCAGATTTTGCAACCCGCCTGAAACAACTCGCCAAAACTTGTGAATTCCATGACAAGGACAGTGAGGTGAAATCACAAATCATCCATGGTTGTACCTCATCAAAGCTGAGACGCTATGCAATTCGAGAAACAGAGCTCAGCCTCTCAAAGTTGCTCACCACAGCCCGAGCCTATGAACTGGCTGACAGCCAATCCAAAGACATGGAACAGCATTCCCAGCACTCAAGCAAAGACGCAGCCAACCGTATGACTGCAAAGCCCCATATGAAGGAACGGAACTGAGCAAATCCTCACGGTCGTCCAAGCCCAGACGCTCTGTACCCTGTCGCAACTGTGGAGGTACGTTTCCTCACAAACAACAATGCCCAGCAAAAGGGGTGATATGCCACTTGTGTGGTAAACTCAATCATTTTGCCAAACATTGTTTGAGTCGTGGCAAATCAGCCAAACCTCAAAGCAGAGCAAAGGTGCGTGCAGTTGATCATACTGTCAGTACTACAAGCTCATCTGACGATGAGTATGTGTTCAGAGTATCGTCATTGCCACACACCAAACATCCGTTTATCACGGTAACAGTCGACGAAACTCCCTTGCCAGCCATCATTGATACAGGTGCGTCAGTTAATGTCACGTGTCTGGCTGTATACAACAAACTGTCCTCCAAACCGCCACTGTGCAAGGACAATGCAGCCAAAGTCTTTGTCTATGGTAGTTAAAAACCCCTGGAGATTGTTGGCACATTTGACTCTTCTATTGCTTATAAGGGGTCCCAAGTGAACTGCACCTTCTGTGTCACCAAAACCATTGGAGACACATTGATCAGTTTCCAAACAGCATCTTCTCTCCGCGTCATCCATGTGGCCTACAACCTTCACCCCGACAACCCCCATAAACCCACGGACAGTCTTGTGGAACAATTCGCAGATCGTTTCACTGGTATCGGCAAGTTAAAGAACATTCAGTTTAAACTGCACGTGAACGAGACTGTCCGACCGATTGCCCTGCCACACCGTCTATCCCGTTCCATGTCCGCAAGAAAGTTTAGAACGAACTTGACAAGCTACTTCGCCTTGACATCATTGAGCCGGTGCGAAATGAGCCAACTCCGTGGGTCTCACCCATACATGTGGTCGAAAAACCTAATCGACCAGGTGAGATTCGTATGTGCGTGGACATGCGAAACGTCAATGCTGCTATTAAACGCGAACGCCACATAACACCCACCATCGACGATATCTTCGCTCAGGTCAATGGCGCTACCGTGTTCAGCAAAATGGACCTTAACGCAGGCTACCACCAAGTTGAGCTGGCCCCAAAGTCGCGCCATCTGACTGTGTTTTCAACGCACAAAGGCTTGTTCTGTTACAAGCATTTGAATTTCGGTGTAAGCTCAACAGCGGAAGTCTTCCAAAACACGATCTCCTCAGCTCTCTGTGGCCTGGAGGGTAGGCTGAACATCAGCGATAATATCCTCGTGTTTAGTCGCACGCAAGCCGAACATGACACACGCCTCGCAGCCTGTCTGCAACGTCTGCGCGAATGCAACCTAACTCTGAACAGAAATAAATGCAGTTTCGGTCATTCACGTGTTGAATACTTCGGCCATGTATTCAGTTCCAGTGGCATCTCTCCTGACAAGACGAAAGTCGAAGCCATCCAACAAGTTCCTAACCCCACCAACGCCAGCGATGTCAGGAGTTTCCTTGGCCTGGTAACATACTGTAGCCGGTTTATACCAGACCTTGCCACTATTTGGGCCCCACTGCGTGAGTTGACCAAGAAAGACTCCACCAAGCGCTCACGCAGATTCGTGAACGAGTCGTACACCGTCGTACCATGGCATATTTCGACCCCGGTAAGAAGACTGCACTGCTTGTTGATGCTAGCCCGGTCGGTCTAGCTGGTATTCTTGTCCAACGCAACGACAGGGATGAACTGTCGATTGTTGCTTTTGCCAGTCGATCTTTGACACCCGTTGAACAGCGGTATTCCCAGACGGAACGCGAAGCTCTCGCTATCACGTGGGCAATACTTCACTTCCACCTCTACGTGTACGGTAGCACCTTCACCGTTATCCCAGATCACAAACCGTTGGTCCCGCTGTTCAATAACCAGCACAGCCAAGCACCGACACGTATCGAGAACTGGTTAATGAAGTTACAGGAGTACAACTTCACCGTTGAGTATCAGCAAGGAAAGCTTAATCCCGCGGACTATATGTCACGGACATCTAAGAGCCATCAGCCGCGAACATGTGCACTTCGTGTCCGTGAACGCGGAGCCCAAGTTAGTCACCCTCGACAAAATCCGCACCGCCACTCGCGACGACCCGGTTCTCCAGTCGACCATCGGCGCGGTCGCCAACCATAGCTGGGACACACTCTTGAAACATCCCGATAACCAAGAGACTCTTGCGACCCTCAAGAGTCTACACAAAGTGCGCGAAGAACTAACGGCAACAACTGATCGCGACCTGCTGCTGTGTGGAAATCGTATCGTAATTCCACAAGCACTTGTACAATCGATTATCGGCATTGCTCACGAAGGACACCAAGGCATGACAAAGACTAAACAGCTACTTCGTGAGAAAGTGTGGTTTCCCAACATGGACACACTCGT